CGTAACAATATGAATCATGTCAGCCTGTCTACACGTCTGAGTGACCGCACTCTCAAGGTTCTTCAGAGTGAAGACCTCCCCTCGGTCATTTTCTCCAGGCAGCAGATGTGTAACTGGAGCGGCCTTTGGGTGGCTCCAGTTCATCATAGGTGTCTGGTTGCCCCCAAAGTTCCTCCTTGGCTATTAAAGAAAAATAGGCTGCTTTCCACAGGCTCCAGGCAAGTCCAAAATAGACATATCATATACTCTTTTTTACACACCATGTCAGCAAATCAGCATGGCGCCGCCTTAGCGCATCAGAAGTATCCCACATTAGCAGGTTACCGCAAACCGCCCGGGCGTGACAACAGGTCAACAGCATGACATGTCAGCGCTAGCCCGTGACAACATCATCATAGCGGCATCCCATCATATCTGCGAAGAGCTCCTGAACTGGCGAGAAGCTGCTCCCAAACTCCGGAACCTGCTTCAGAACCTGCTCCAGAACATGCTCCAGAAGCTGCTCCGGAACCTGCTCCGGAACTCCGTCACCTGCTCTGCTCCAAAGTCTTTACTCTGGCTGAAGACCCCTAAGCATCGAACCACTCCTCTTCATGAAGCACGACCAGCAGATTTCCTGTTTCCCAGCCAGGCTGCTCATCTGCCTCGGACCCAACAATTCCGCTGGTTTCCAGTCTCCGGGATATGCTAGAAGTAAAGACCGCGGTAGACTTGATTCTGCAATCAAACAGTTTACCCTTTGAAAGGAAACCAACTGTTCAAATCATCTTGGGTCTCCTCACGTTTAAGTCTAGCAAACTCCCGCCAAGAATCCTTTCCAGAAAAATGGATTGTATCCCCATGAGCTGCACCTTGCGGCACGTCAACCTCACATCCCTCGTAAACATTCCCAGCTTTCCTTGGACACGAATTCGCTCAATTGTATAACAACACTGACTGAGAAATAAGCCATTTGCAAACGAGTATCCAAATCATTCCAGTGCCTGCGCATGCTTTGCAAATGTCAATCATACCAGGAGGGGCTCGTGACAAATGGCAACCACTGCGACCACCAGCACTGCCAGCACCATTGCATATCGGGCACTGCCGGACCTTGGGCCAAAAGCACAAACAACCTAGCAAACTGTCTGAGTCTTGGGTTGTAAGACAAGAGGGTGAGGAAAGGACAAGATTGCAAGAGTGCTCATGGGTCAAAATCTGCATGTATATCCATACATGCATATATCATATATCTACAAATCGGTGAGCAATCGTTAAAGGTCCCGACAGTGGCCAGTTGAACTAAGCTTGACATGTTAGAATTGGTTGGGAACGCCGTACTGCGACGTCTTTTTGAAGCACCTCCTTTGTGAGAGGCCCAGAGGATTAGTGGCTTACAGCAATCACACCCAGCCGTTCGAACCGGAGAGTCGGCGTGAGCCACAAATAGGCAATTGGTCCTTACACATCCATGGGCCGACAAAACAGAGGTCAAGCTGGCTGCTCTCTAGACCTCCTGCAAAATGGGCTTCCGAGCAAGGTTTTAAGTATGCTCAATCTTTTGAGAGAGAGGGAGAGATGGGGTTGTAGTGGCTCAGTGCCAAAAAGACACACAAACGAAAATGAGGCACAAATCAGCACTTGGAGCTTACACATCCATCAACTCGACTTTACAGGAGGGAGCTCTAAACCATTGAAATGTTTGAGTAAGCATAACTGTACGCTATGGAGCATCGCGGAAACACGGTGTAAGTTTGAGGACGAATTCCTGTTTGAAGCAAGGGACGGCTTCTGAAGTGTCAACCACCTTTCTCTTCACTCTCAAAGTTTTCGTGCAGCCAGCGTAAAGCTCCCTGACGATGAAGTTCTGCAAAAAGCCGATGAGTCAATGAACACACTTCGTTGTGTTCGTTGCTGACCCTGCTGCAGCTGGAGGCCTCAATGACTATACAGAGATAATACTAGTAGCTTCTTGTTCCTAGTAGTAAGGCCAGGAGCCCCTAGTAGCGTCCTTGCTCCTAGTCGCGATGCCAGGAGCCCCTAGTAGCTTCTGTCTACTACATAGTGATATAGTACTGCAGCCGGGACTCTCCAGAGATACCGACAATGATGCAAACTTGTCCTTGGTCTTCTTCCGCTGACGCGTTCCACCCAGGCCTCAAGGTCACTAAGACTTAGGAGGTTTTGAGCAGTCATCAAGACTTGTTCTAGATTCTACATGACTCTTCATCCAATCCATCCCCCACTTCAGTTGGCATCATGACCGCACAGTCTACATTGGTCACCTCCTTGGAGTAGCATTTGCGCGAGTTCTTCTGCACTTGACGGAGGGCCAGTGTAGAAAAGCCTGTCTCCTGAAGATAGAAGGGTATTGTCACAATACGTTCCCTCTCAGATTGCAGCACCACATTTACCCACATGGTGTGGACCGTCCTTCCTCATCATACTGCGCACGCCTCTCCGTGTCGCTGAGCACTTCATAAGCGAAGCTCACCTCTTTGAACCTCACTCTACAAGATAGATATATATATATATACAGTATATATATTGCTGTCATCTGTTGAAGAGACTCCAACTCTGGCCAAATCTATCTTCCTTTCATCAAAAAAGATAGTTCACAAAAAATGCCACACAAAATAGTGCCCGATGCAGTAGCCGCTCAGGATCGCCACCTTTGTCAGGATGATGAAGCCACGCAAGTCTCCTGATTGAAGATATCAAAGCAAATCCGAGGCAATTGAAATGGAGGATTTCCGTAAACATCTGCACCACCTTCCATTCGAGCAAAACAAATCTCAGCACTTGCAGAGATGAATCGTCCCTTCAGTATTAGTTGATAAGGCCAAGCATGTATGACACAATATTCTGTTCGTGGTGGATGGGCTGTCGGCTGATGTCTCCACTTTTGATATTGGTATGTGACGTGGACTGTGTTCGTCGTTAAACATGGCAATGTGTGGCTTGATTGTCGCCCGTGCCTGGCCTGATTGAACGAGCAATGTCAAGGCGCGCCAAAGCGCAATACACTAAACAAACACGGTTCAGTTGATGTGACAAAATCGATGTGAAGTAAAGCACGGCACTATAAGGCAAACAAAAGACGTTTTGTTGGTGATGGACCGAAAGCCCAAAGTGAGAACATGGTGTTATCTCTTTGACGAGTAACACGTGTACACCTACGGTTATCACTGTTTCTTCTTGTGAGAAGAACGGTGTTCTTTTAATTTACTGACCATAATTTCCCTCTCCTGTACGATCTTTTGATTTCGGCTGCATCAGAGTCTTTGGCCAGCTCCAAGGCAGAATACAGTGCAAAGGTGCGGCTGGGCTTCGACATGAACCCAAAAGGCACCACAAGAGGGTATGTTTTCCAGCGGCAGGTTTATCGTTTCGTAAAAAGAGATTGAGGCTGAGGTCTTTGTATGTGGCTAAAGGCCCATTCAGAATCTCAAGTCTTGCGTTGCAATGGAGAACACTGGTGTAATAGTGTAAGCCAGCTGCGTCGCGAGTTTCATGCATGACAAAATCTGAAGGTAATCAACAATAATCACAAACCACGAGCCTTTGCTGTGACATCGAAGAGGCCTCAACAAAACCACTATTCAGAAATGCTTTACTGCACTTGACAGTTGGTTTTGTCTGCGCGTGTGTTCTGAACTCCTGTCCCTAGCTTCAAGAACTTTTTTCATTTTCATGTTTCAGCCAAACACACGACACAGAATAGAATACAAAGGAAACAACCTCATGTCTCATGTCAGCCTTTTCTGCAGACTCAGCAATGACTTCGGCCACTCCTACAGCACAACAAATGCTGCCCCGCAATCTTCCCCAGAACGGTCATGTACAGTTTCAAGGAAGATATATGTAAAAGAGCTTTCTTGCCGTTGCATGGGCCCGGATTGGCATGTACGCTGCAGTTACCATCACTTTTTTGTAGTGGGTTTCGCCTTTCTAAAGGATGGTTTCGGTAGATGGTGACCGTGTGCTTGAGCAGCTCAAGCAATCTGCATAACTTCTGGCAAGTCACCAAGTCGAAGTAACCCCAAGAAAACTCCCCAACAGCTGGGCACCAAAATCCGCTTGCACCATCGCAAGTTCACCAAAAAGGGTCGTGATTTGCCAGGCAACGCTGCCTTCTTAAAGGTATACAGAGTAAAACTTGCCCATGTGCCACATCTGGAGAGCAACGCGGCAATACGTCGGCATAACACATGTCATGTGCCCACATCTGCGCAAGCAAGACGACACCGCAAGCAAGAACCAGCAAGCCTGCTCCGGGCTCCGAGCCCGCTCCGGTCGGTTCAGCATCTCAGGGCAACAACATGTCAGCCTGACAACATGTCAGCCACCAGCATGACAACATGTCAGCGTGACGCCACGCAAGCATACCAGCATTTCAACACGAATCATGCCAGCGCAGCGGCGTGACAACACCTCCGCATCAGAGACACAGCGTATCTGCAATGTGCTCAGGAACTTGCTCCGGAGCTTCCACCAGAACTTCCTCCGGAAGCTCCAGGGCCTGCAACCTCATTCGGAACTTGCTCTGGAACCTGCTCCGGAACCTCAAGACCTCTGAGCTTTGCTGTTGGGGAATATTATCATTATATATAGTGATTCCCCAACATTATAAGCTTGCCCTTCCTAACAACCCAGGTCACCTGCCAGGGAATGCGCTGCAGCCGCGCAGCAAGCCATAGCTCGGCATTTTGTTGCCTTCGCTTTCGATCGTTCAATCTCTATCAAAGCAAAGGGCAAAAGTTGATTGAAGCAACACCCTCACTCAAGGAGATTGAACAAATGTGTGCGATGTGGAGATGTGGGACTGGGTGTATAAGTGTGATCTGGCGCACCGGCGCAGACTGGTGAGTGTGAACCTTGGTCCAATGTTCCGTGGTGCTAGTACAGCTCATGTTGGATCTAAACTGAGTCATTGGGGCCTTTGTCAACCGGTTGCTTGGAGAGTTGCCTGTGTTCCCTATCTTGGAACCGCAGCAAGTGTCACACATTGCACTCCCCTTGCGGTTTGCTGTCGAAGCCAGGTGGGGGCAATTAGGGAAGTTGCAAAGCACATTCCTCATTGCAGTAACTTGCTCTGCTTTGTGAATTCTACTTCATAGAGGTGTCCTGATACCTCACTTGCTGGTCCCACAACTCAGCTGTCAGGGGAAAACCCTGCAACAATACAAGCAGCTGCTGGTCAATGAGAGACGCAGTGAAGGACCCGTGGAGAGCACAATGAGCACAATGAGTGCTTCCAAGAACCGACATCCGTTCTGCTTGACATCCCAAACAGCCGTCTAGCTAGCGTAGTAAGACCCGCAAATCCCTGAGTGTGTTGCGCCTGCGCTTCACATCTGTTTTAACCTGTTCCTTCCAACGTTTCTGATCCAACACTGCACAGATTTTGCGGCATTGGTCTGTTTTTTGCGGCATCCGCTGCACATATTGACTTTCTGACTAGCAGTCTTTGTCGTTCGTGATTCAAACGCATCTTGGCGTACTTTGTCAGAAGCGTCGAATCCCTTCAACTCTGAACATGTGCCAAAGTAGAAGACTGGCAACATCCAGCCTGAGCTGAGTCCACAACTTGCACACAAGCACGGCCTAATTGTCGCCTGATTGCCTGCTTGAGCCGGAAACACATCAAAAAAAAAGATCTGCCGCAGTCCGCCTTGGCTTGTTGGGCACCACTCTGTGCCAGTGGGGAGGCAGCGACCCAAGTTGATGCGCGGGAAGCTTCCTGTTTCATGTCTGCGCAGCAGCATCTCAGCATCAATCTTCTTCTGACTGAGAACCAACACATAGTCAACATCTAGATCCAAATGTATTATGGAAGAAACAGCTGTTCTACGGCCAGGAATTCAAAGCTGCAGGCCGAATAATTCCCGACGTGCACAAGTTGTTACTTCAGCTCAGGAATTTTCTTAGCTGGAGGAAGACGCAGCGTTGAAGTGCTAGAATGGCTTTCTTTACTTCCCTGTTTATTTAATTCCATGTCAGGCACCGACCTGCATTCAACAAAAAACAATCCTATCAATTTCACCCTGAGGTGCCTTTACGATTCCAAGTGTTGCTGCGTCGAATCAATGAGTGAGATATCAAGACCTTGAACGAGTTCTTGATGCCAAAGAAACTATGCCTGCGCAAGTTCAGCCATTGAGGCTGCTGAGCTCACCTGGAACGGCTCCCATAAGTCAAAGCCATAAAAAAAGATCCCGCAGTTGAAACCGATCAAAAACGATGTTCCCAATCCTCCCTGTTGAACGAAATATGTGACAACCCATGCTTACCAGTCCTTCACAACCGTTTGGTTTGCAGATTATGTGCCTGACACATCGAAGATCACAGGTTGCGAGGAGGGAGACAAGTTTCCCGCAGAGCAGACGCAGTATGACAGAAACAGTCACAATTGCCAACGACAAAGTCATCCCAACGCAAACCTCAAAATAAACGTAGCCCATATGTCCAAAACACAGTGATTGGAAGCTGGATCTTGCGGCCACAACACGTTGCATTAAATCAATCTGGAAGGAAACATGCGGCATATGACTGTCCTTGCCCTCCACAGCACTTTGTCATTGCTCGATATGTATCTTTACCCATCACCTCTTTTGCTAAAATTGAAGTCTACATAATTTATTGGAGAAATTGTGTGTAAGGAAAACATAGGAGTTAATGTGAGCAGCACTGTAAAAGCAACGTGAGTAACAACAGCAACATCACTAAGGTCAGTAGGAGCAGCATGGTAACAGCGACGTAAGTCACGTAATTGACGTTTGTAACGGCAGCACAGAAAGAGTAATGTAAGTAACACTTGCACAGCAACAGCAACGTAAGTGAGATCGCAAATAATAATAGGGTAAGTTACACTAGCACGGCAACAAGAATGCAAGCAACAGTAAGGTAGGTAACAGCAGCACAGCAGCAGGAAAATGAATTACTGAGTAACAGCAACAACTGGACAGCCACGGCAACGTGAATAAGAGCAGCACAGTAAGAGAAGAAACAGTAACGGAAGCAACAAACAGTCGCACAGAAACAGGAAAGTACATAATAAGCAACAACAATGTCAGAAGCAGTAACTAATGTATATAACTGTTGCACTGTAACAGTATCCGTAACAATAACGAAGTAGCAGCAACGTAGGTAAAAACAGCAGCACCAACTGTTCATTTTGAAGCTTGCAATTGTCCAAATTCCAGAACGACCTGCGCATTTAAAGCTTTAACATGCCAAAAGTTGAAGAAGTCTTGTATGTTTGTGATGAAGTTTTGAGATGTCAAGATTTAAGTCAATGCATTTATGAGAGACAGCGAGCGCACGAAAAGCAATTTTTTCCCAAAAGACTTGGTCGAAGGGCTCTTACTAAAGGCACTTGGTCTGACACATCTAGTTTTTCATTTGCAAGAGTCTAGCTCAGGCTTTAAGCACGTGAAAAGTCCTGCACAGGCTTTAGCACTTGTAACAGTCTTGCACAGGCTTTAGCACTTGTAAGAGTCTTGCACAGGCCTTAGCACTTGTATGAGTCTTGCTCAGGCTTTGGCGCTTGTAAAAGTCATTTGCAAAGGCTTTAGCACTTGTAAAAGTTTTGCTCAGGCTTTAGCACTTGTAAGAGTCTTTTGCACAGGCATTAGTACGTGTGAGAATGTTGCACTACCACTTGCAAAAGACTTGACCAAGTCTTAGCATTTGCAAGAGACTTGACCAAGTTTTTGTCTCGACATCTCGATCCTTTATTATCTTTAAAGCCGGGGCAATCCGGCCTGTCGAGCGCCCAAACGTGAAACGCGAATCCTGTTGGTCAGCGGCGATCCCTCTCGCAGGATCCGGCTCGTCGAGTGCCCAGACGTGTAGCGAAGTGCGAATATTGTCGGTTCCGGGTAAGCCCTCTCGCAGGATCCTGTGCGTCGCGCGTCGCAGTGGCAGTTAGCTGGCGTAAGTGCGGCGTGTCGCTGGGGAGGCAGATAAGTGGCGGTGTGTATACGAGGCTGGGTGTGACATGTGTGGCACACTGTGTGGCCAAAGTCCATCTGTGATGTCGCTGTGCTATGCGGCTTTGCGCGGCGTCGGTGAAAAGTGTGTTTGTGGGTGTGTTTGTGTGAGTCAGTTCCACTGGGGGGAGGAAAGCACGCTGGCGTAAATGCAGGGTGTCGCTGGGGAGCTGGATGAGTGGTGGCGAATACGAGGCTGGGTGTGACATGGTTGTACGCAGTGTGTGGCACACCGTGTGGAGAGTATTCAATTTTGATGTCGCTGTGCCACGCGGTTTTGCGCGGCGTCGGATCTTGCCGGCGCTGGCGGAACCCTCTCTCGTGTTCAGTGCCGAAACGTGAGGTAAAATGCAAATTTTTGTGCGCGCTGGGCTGCTTGGCGATGTCACAAAGGAAATGAGCGGCCAAAACAGCTCCGTGTGCTTAGAAAAAAGAACTCTATTCTTGCGCGCGCTTTGCTTAAAACTTTCCTGCCATCAGGGGGTCTAGTTTCGATACAAAGTGTGTCTGTGAAGCTCAACAGTTAGGCTCTGCGGAACAACTTCGCGTCATTCTGGGTGGTGTCCTTAACATTCAGTGCCGCAGAATTGCTTCGTTTTCATGTATTCAATTTCGATGTGATGCGGGGGAAGGCTTCTGGAGGTAGGGGCTCGCAACTGGCCACTTTGCACAGATGCAATGCGGCACGGTTGCCTTTTCAATCAGGCTTGGCCTCGCTTTGTTACCTCGCGCGTGCGACAAGTGGCACACTGTCTGACAAATTACTTCGGCGACGTGCCGTGCGTTTTGGCGAGGCGTTGGTTGAACGCGCGGGTGTGGCTCTGTGCATTATTGAAAAGTGAGTTTGCCTTTCACACACAGGTAAAAGAGTGCGAACCGTGGACGCACAAAGAGGCGTATGTATGGAAAAGACCTGGGTAGAGCAACAAGGTCTAGCTTATCTTCCAACAGGAACCTGCTTCTGAATTGCGTGACTGTTGCGGATCTAGATAGTAGCCGCCCTCCAATTTTTAAAGTTGTGCAGAAGGTACACACTGAAGGTGATCAATCTCCGCTGGTTCTATGGTGGAAACTCCATATGGCAAAGAAACAAGAAAAAGAAAACCATGGAGTCTCCGTGCGCAACAGTCCTGCAAAATGTCAAGGATTGCAAGAGCACTCACATGATTCCAAAGTGAACAAACGAAATGTCCAATCTGCCTTCGCTGCACTAGAAGCATGCACAAGCCTGGCGCCCCACAAAAATTGTGAGCTTGCAAGCGTCTCTCTGATTTGGATGCAAAGCCGATGAGCAGTCTTGAAGGCTGTGGGGCCACTGTAGGGGTGAGGGAACAGCTGCAGACTGTCGTCTGCTCATGCCTGCTCCACATACTTCTGGTTACATCAACAGTGCGGTTTGCAGCTGAATCCGCAGTGCCAATGACCTTTGCGCGCACCACACAACTGACTTCTTTCCAAACACCTTCCCAAATGAAATGTGTCATTACAAATGAATATCACCACAAGCTGCCAACTGGGCTGATGCCAACATGATGTCTGCAGAAAACGCTTGGGAATGAAGTGGCTTCATCTTTCAAGTCTGTTGCTGTTACTGTTGAAGGCGTGTTTCTCTGTTCCGCTGATTTGGGGTTTGCTGGCCGTACTCAAATCAGCCGGACGACAAGCTAAGTACTCAATGTGGACAAGTTGCGCTCAACAAATTCAAGCTTAAATAATGCATACCCAAACCATCGAAAAGCTGGTTTGGGCAAAGGACATGAAACCCACGGCAGTCCGCTGTTTTGCACGTGAGGAAGCCATGGAACCTTAACTCCCGCTGTCATCACATGTTTCATTTTGTTGCATTTCGGCTTTTACCAGCAATGTTAATGGCGCATTTGTTTCCTCCTAATGCACAAATCACATGGGGAGAAGCACCGTCTGTTTGCGCCAAACATCTCACTGTGTGGAGTGTTCCTGCGACTAAACTTTGAAATGTGTTTCTTTTCTTAGCCCGGGCGGGTAGGCTGCAGATACAGGAAGAGGTAGCTAATTAGTAGCTATTAAATAGGACGCTCCTAGTAGCTGGACGCAGGATGGCTCTCGCACTAATGATTTATTTATTTGGTTCCTAGATGTTTAGGGAAACTTAACATCAAGTAATTGCAAAAAAAGTAAGGCAAGTACATGTTGAATCTGTCGTCTGGCTGAATGTCCCCTTCATCGTTTTCGAAAACATGGGTTCACAAGGATTGGATGTACAGTGTATGGTAGGCAACGTTTGATACCTGCACACCTACTATTTTCGGGAAAAGTGCCTGATTATGTGATACGCATGGTATATTGCAGAGATGTCTAAACTGTACATGCTGCAAACCAACAACACAACAAAACGCACAGCACAGGAGCATTTTATTTCCCTCTGGCACTGGCATCTGAACACACTACAATGTACAGTTGGCTGCACTCGCAACGTAGAGAATTAGAAAAGTAGGGAACCCTGCATTTGCTGCGCAATGCAGGGCGCAGCGTGCTGCTGGTGAAAGATTGGCCTCAAAACTATACTACTCTTGATAAATGAGGTCTGCTGTTCATCCAGCTTTAGAACCATACGAACTCCTTCTCCAGCCTCCAGATCACTGTCCACTCTCTTTGTTGGTGGTGAAGCTGCGCAAGAGTGCAAAAGGCCTTGACACACTCCTACTAGTAGCTTCTTGCTACTAGTAGTAATGCCCTTGTTACTAGTAGGGATGCACTTGTTACTAGTAGCGGTGTATTTGTTACTGTGTTAGGACCACGTTCTATTTTTGACAACTCTGAGGTCTCCACCGGCCAGCAGGGAAATCACGACGACTGCACAGCACCAACAATACAGTATCTCTCTGTTCACATCAGGGTCGTTTGTCTGGGTTCTACCAGGTTTCCAGAACCGGACCTTGCGCAGAACTATGCGCATATATACCAACCCCCCAAAGCAATCATATCAGTGCATCCACCCAACGGGAAGAAGTGGAAACTCATGTCAATGCCGCGATCGCCACCCACCGAGTCAGGAGAGATGTGTGGCGGCGAAACAGGGGGTAACTCAGGGTAGATGTCGCGGTGTGAGGAGAGAAGTGGGGAGACTCGAGGCATGGCATGGCAGCCAGTGAGGCGAAACACGTGGTAGGGGAGGCAAGGCTCCTGTCATTTCGTGACAGCCGCCTAGTTGGGAGTCAAGAACGGAGAGAAGCCGAGAATCATGTCGCGACAGCCAGGGAGTGCCAGCAGTTGGACAGAAAAAACGATCTAATCCTTGCAGCACTGCCAATGGGCATAACTTCGGCATATATAACTCAACTGTAATTCCATCTTGGGGAGATACATTTGCAGAAACTCTGGAAACAAAGTCTGCGAACAATCTCTGAACCAAGCCTGTTGCCAGGGTGTATGCGGTGACAGATTTGCGCCTCACGCGCAACCTGTGCATCACCAAATATGAGGATGAAGCAATTGCACGGTCCTAATCCTATCCCAACCTGTGCCAAACTGGTGAGAGCTCCATCTGATTGCAGCGACCCGCGAGGAAACTTGACAAGTTGCGCACAGCAAGCTCGGTTTGTCCTATACTGCTCTGCAGCATGCTTCTTGCTAAGGATAAGGACCCATGATAAGTGTGTCTACTTGCTCCTGACACTATAGCTGGGGCAAATACGACACGAGGATGCAGAAGAATCTTGAACAAACCACTGTGCCGCACGCGTTCTAACCCAATCAGGTCTTTTCACTGTCCTTTTCCATGCGGGCAAAGCGCGCGCACGTTTCCTTTGAAAGTGCATGACGGGAACATGGGCCTGCACTCAGTCTTCGCCTTCAGCCATCAACCACTTTGATGTCATCCACGGTGATGTCACTGGACCAACCGGAACCTGTCAGGATTTGAGCGGCCAAGTGCTGTTTTGTTTGGTGAAATAGAGTTTAAATAATGTGGTTGAAGCCGATTATATATATATATAACCTACCCAGGATCCCTCAATTTTCGTCTAATGGTGGTCCTATTTGCAGATGTTCTCATTTGAGCATGCGCATATGACACTGGTATGATACCTGGGATGCCTCGTTCACCGCCCCTGTATGATGAATGCTTCAAGGGCCCGAGGGCAAGCTTGGCCCAAGTTTTGACTCCGCTGTGGTCTTTCTCAAACAGCCCTTGGCGACCTAGCCCTTTTCAGCTACACTTGCGTTGCTGCCGCCTGTTGTTCACGGTGTTGGTGCTGATTTTAGGATTGAATTCATGATTCTGTCGAATTTGTACATATACCCGCTTAGAATTTAGAAACATCAAGCCCTTCCACTACTGGTCAGATGCTAGGCTAGGCAATTGGAAAATAGAACGATCAAGCGAGATGGTCAAGAAATTGCAACACTTGCAAACGGCTCGGACCTGTGTGGCCCTTTAGCTGAACCGACTCGCAGTCCATCGGTAGCACCACTTCAGCTTGTCGCCACGAATCACCTTGAGACCCGGAGACCGTGAAGAGCGGCTGCCAGTCCGATGCACCAGTGCTCATGCACGACACGGTCAAGTCACCCATGCTCGTGCCCTGCGAGATTGCTCGTCCAACAACAAATGCGGATAAACTCCTTACATTCTAAACAAACCTACTAGCGATAGCCTCCAACCTACTAGCAACGGCCTCCAAGCTAGAATCCAAACTTCTTGCATTCACTTTTCATTTTTTTCAGATTCTCTCTCTGTCTGGCTGCATCTCTCAAATGCACTTCCACATACGTAACTCGATTGAATTTGTATCCAAGTTTGCATGTTTTTCAGATCAGGGAACGTTGTCTGGATGAGTTGTTCTCTACAAATAAAATGCATATGCGCGCCGAACGTAGTAAGCGCAGCAGCCTTCATGTGGTAGTAAAACTGCAGTTTCAGCGCAGTTGTCACTACAAAGTGCCCAGATTCCAAGATAAAGTCCTTGTTGTGGTTGCCGCCGCTGGCCTCTGTATAGATGTAGTGAGAGCCTCCATCAGGGAACGGCAACTTGAACCAAGAGTATCAAGCCGCAGCCAACAAAAATGGCAAGACTGAAACTCAACCTCTTAACGACGGACCCACGTTCACCGAGACCTTGATGAGCAGAGGATGGACCTGTTCCACTGCTTGGAGTGCCAGAAGAATCCCGAGTCCAATCTTTTGCGCCATCAACATTGTTCCAGTTGCAAAGGTTTGTCTCAAAGGTACCTCAGACTTCACAAGAGTCTGTGAACATCCCATGTGGAAAACATCATGCAATATTTGCATACTTGATGTGGAATATCTTAGGGTTGGAAAATGCTTGTATGAGACACATAGTGTAAAGTTTCACACTCACTTCGGCTTCGGCTCATCACTTTTTTTGCGCGCGAAGCACGAAGTCCTTGGTTTTTGCACTTTGTGCAGGGGGCGGGTGGGCGGGTCACCCTTGAGCCGAGAGCCTACCGAGGTGAAACACTACGCACGCAGGGCTAGGCTACCACGTTTCACACTCACTTCGGCTCATCACTCTTTTTGCGCACGAAGCACGAAGTCCTTGGTTTTTGCACTTTGCGCATCCTTCCCCCCTGAAGCAGACGCCCCTCCGCGAGAAGGGGCGTCGGTCGCCAAACGCGACACGACAAGGGCGAAAGCTAACAAAGGAGCGGAGGGGGACTCACTTGTTTGGGAACCCCTTTACGGGGGTCATATCCGCACAAGCCATGCGTGCAGCGGTATTGACCGAAGCTTTTCTGGACGTCCAAAGATATGCTAGGAAAGCGTCGGAGTTCCACCGCCCCCAAGTGCGCAGCACATATGAATCCATGCCGCCTGCCCACATAGCGGACGCGCCTCCAAACCTCAAGGAGTGTGGGGTGTAGGCCTGCGCGTCCTCACCCAAAGACGCCGCGATGGTCTGCAGGGCGGTCTGGATGTCCTGTCTGGAGACTGCTCCGAAGAACCTCTCCTCGGGGTGCGGCGGAGCAGCCTGCCACTTTAACTCCGAAAACTCGATAGTGGCCAAGACTGGGCACACCTCGGCGTTACTGCGGAACAGGTTCCTGGTAGCTGACTCCCCCTCGGGATCAGTTTTGGAGGCTCGGACAACTATCTGAACCTCATCCGCTTCGCCGAAAGGCGGCCGGGAAAGGAGCTCTCCACGGCGATACAAGGTAACATCCTTTACCCGGAGGCCGAGCCTGGGATTACTCCCGCCAACCAGCTCGGAAACCCTCAAGGAAAAAGAAGCCCAACTGAAGCGCGCAGTTGAGCTCTCTTCCCCACAGCCCACAAGGCAGCATTAGCCCGGGCTAGCATCCTCGGTGCGACGCTTCGCTATGGGGCCCTTTCGTCTTCGAATCCCTTCCAAAGCCAACATGAGGCGAGGGAGCGGTTTCAGTGGGCCCGGAAACCCCAATTGGAGATGTACACTCCTAATAGCGCCCAATCGGGCCTGAGCAGTAGCCGCTGCCAGGCCTTGGCCCACGAAGAGGTATACGAGATAGTCGAGGAACAGCGCTTCCTCTCCGGGATCGAAACGATCCACGGAGCGAAGGGCTGAGACTCCCCTCCGTCTCGTGAAGAGTTCCCACCACCTCCAATGCCCGTCGTACAGGCGTTGTGTGGCCGGTGAACGATGGTCTTTTACCAACTGCAAGCCTTCCCTAGCCCAGGCGTGGGCTGGGACCACCCCTGCTTGGGGGCATTCGCCGGAAACTTGGTCTTGGAACTTGCAGGCGTATTGCCACTAGGTGCGACTAGCGGGTGTCTCCCTCTGCGTCTATGGTGTCGCGTTGTTAGCTCCGGAGTGGAGCTGAGAGGATCCTTCACTGGAGGAAGGGAAGGCGTCTCTCCAGTAGCGAAGCTGACCTTCTTGATCTCGCCTCCCACCCTGCGCTTCACCGGGCACGGATCGTGCCTCGGTAAGCCAGGTTGAGTGCCAGCAAGAACAAGGAGCAGCAGGCTAAAAAGAAGCATCCCCCAGAAGAGGGTGGTGCCGCTCGCATGCTTGCGAGCTTCTCCATGGACGGGTTTGCACCCCTGAAGACCAGGTGGTCTTCCAAAGAGCCGCTAGGCACAGCAGGGTTGCCAGACCACGAAGCCAAGGGCCTATCAGAGGGTCGTCTTCGGTCTCGAGACCCGCAGCTTGTGCTCCAACCCCCGTTGGTAGCAGGAGCAGCAGCCCACCCCCCAGAGCTTGTGCTGCGGCACGGCGTGCCCCCTCATTCCTCGGGAGCGACCTTGCTAACCACGCGCGCGCTGGGGGGGCGCTTTAAAGGCGGCTTGCGGCCTCGCACTTGAAGGGGCTACGGGAGCTCTTGGCTCGGGCTCCTCGGCTGTCTCTCTGGCCTGTGGCGTGCGAGGGCGGCGACTCTCACACAGCAGCCATCCCACGACTGGGTTCTTGTTAAAGGATTTTTTTTAAATCCTGGTCAGATCATGGCATTCCAGAGTGCTGCCATGAGCCTGCTACGATTTCTGCGGATTTCCAAAGTGCTGCAACTGTCACCCTCTCAGTGCCACGAAATTCTGCAACTTCCATGATGCAAAGAACATTGCCATCAAAAATGGACATGGGGCTCACGTTGTTGTCAGGACCAAGTGTTTTCGAAAACAATTCAGCAAAGAACACTGTAGTTTTTTTGTAAAGAAGGGGCAGGCAGACTTTGATTCTTTAGTTTGTTTTTATTTTGTGTCCAGGTTTTTTGCGTTGACTGCAAAAACAGTACAATATATGTCAAGAATCAGATCTCAATGCTGAATGCGATGAAGTCGACACACACACAAATAATATGTATGTTTGCCAGTCTGGCTTTTCCTACCATCAGCTGGGCATACATAACCGACGCACGCATCCTTGATATACTTTTTGGGAAAGATGTTTTGAATAAGGGTCATACTGCGCGATGATGAATGTGTTGCAAGAACGTGAAAGTATTTTGTAGCAAGCCAACTTTCTTAAAGAGCTCCATGAACTGGTGACTACTTAAATATTTCATGAATATATTTGTCACGGCTCAGGACCTGTCAGGAACCAGCGATACTAAGGAAACTAAGGCCTTGACACGCTTCATCAGGAGAAGAACTAAGGAATGAACTAAGGAGACTACAGGCTTTACCATCTTCATGCTCGCGTTCATGGGCCTTAGCTTGGGCACGCCCAGCTCCCCGCAAAAAATAAACATTACTTGTAACTAGTACGCCGAAAGGTGTATAATAGCGCCGAAAGGTGCAACTCATCTTCTTTTTCTTTAGGAATCGTTGGCTCAACTTCCAGTGTCGGCTATTCAATTTTCCGACACTGGCTAAATAGGACTAAATAGGATTTGTGTGTGTGTGTTGCCAGTTCTGGTCTTTTCCAGAACTGGGTGTGTGTTGTGTGTATTACTTCCAGCGTCGGCTATTAAAATCCGACACTGGC